TATAATTTTGCAAAATAATGAAATTATTATTTGTGACTTGATTAATATATATGATAGTGTGTAAGATCTGCTGTCGATATCATAGATATGTAAAACCTTTATTGGTCAATCAATCCAATGGTTGTATTAATAAGAATGATAAATTAAGAAAAACGAATTAAAAAAAATTGAAAAAAATGAGAGAATAGTAGCAGTGCAAACAAAAAGATAGGGCGCCCATAGAAAAAAGTTTTAAAATTTTTTGCGAAATTCATTGGCATATAGTTTTGAAAAATAATGAATATCATTATTTGTGAGTTGAATAATATATATGCTATAGATATCATGAATATGTAAAACAGACTTATTTGTCAATTAGTTCAATGCAGAGCTGGGCAAGTCAAGTCAAAAATGCCTCAAGTCAAGTCAAGTCAAGTCAAGTCAAGTCTGACTTGACTTGATCGAAAAAATTTTGGGACGTAACTTGACTTGACTTGACTTGAAAGTTTTTTTTGAGTGACTTGACTTGACTTGTGACTTGAGAAACCTACAACTTGCCCAGCTCTGGTTCAATGATTATAATAATAGGAATGTTAAATTAAGAAACACGAATTTCAAAAGATGAAAAATAATGAGCTAATAGCAACAATGCAAACAAAAAAATAGGGCACTCGTAGAGTAAAATAAAAAAATTCCGTTTGAAATGCAGACATTAGAGAGGTCATTATTCTAGACATCGATCATCCTACAAAACAGGTATAGTCTACGACAGGTGTATCACTTTACGTATTTTGTATTAGTTTAATCAGACTAGAGTGTATATGTGAGTTCCACATTTCAACCCCAAAGGAGCGGCGCTAAAAAGCTTTTTTTACTTCTTTCATGTTTATAAAATTCTTTAGCAACTACTAGAAAACATTCAAACAAAGGTAACACTGCGGAGTGTTTGACATGACATCCAACTGTATGCGATAGAAGTTTTATTATAGAATCGAATTTAAAGAAACGATAACAACTTTGGGAATGACATTAGGTAATGGTCGTCTTAGTTTTACCATAATTTGAAAGGCATGTGTTGTCAGTATCATTTCTCTTCAATAAGACATATCGACTTGTAAATTTTATGCTGAATGTATGTTAATTACTTCTAGTAATAGCTTCAGTTTTATTGAATCTGACATTCTTTTTGAAAAACGGCAGTACCATTTGGACAACGAGTAGATCTCTGACAGGTCTCAGACAATGAACTGAATTGATGTCAAGAACCTAGGTTTTTGAAAAAGAAAGAAAACTGGTGACCAGTTGCTTTGAGAAGGGGACTAGTGACTGAATCCAGTTCTTATAAAAAGAATCAGTTCATAGAATTGTGAACTGTCAGAGATTTAACGATGAGTCTTTTGACTTGTACTTTCAGGTTCATCTGATTTCTGTTGATTCACAGTATAGAAATGTTCGTTTGGATAGTTAAGTATACAGCGTAATGAGAAGCATTTTGGTGTCAGTAAAATAAAACTTTTTTCAATGACCAAATAAAAAAGTAAATCTTTCGTATACTAAAAATGATCTTGACTGAAACATCAAAAATCGATCTAGCATATCTTTGTCTATTTTAAAAACCAAAGTTGCAAGCATAAAATAGATTTTCTGTGATAAATTGTCGAGCATTCTTCGCTTCATTTTCTGGTAAACGATTTTTAAGTTAAACAAGCTGCACAATAAAAAGATAAAGTGTAAAAGTGACCATGCATTTATGGTCAACCAGTTAGTTACTTTGTTTATTCAAATCATGATTAGATAACTTAATTGGCATAGAAGCCGATCGGTTTCTGAAAAATGGATATACAATTTATTTTTTAATTCTATCATTGTTTCTATTCAGTTTTTGAAACTGAATAAGGCGTCTTCTGTTCTACATTCGAACTTGCTCTGACAAATATAACTTTGCAGATAAATGACTTGAAAATAGAGAATCTCTCTTGAAAAAAATCTTTTTACTTTTTCATATAACCAAGTATATAATCTAAGATGATCCACCTCTAAAATCTAGGATGGCAATTCATAGTTTCTGACTAATCTTCATCTTTATTAAATCTTACTGATAGTCGTTTTCACAATGTATAATAGAAAAAAACACATTGAATAAATTTCTTGAAAATAATTACTTAAGGCGCATTGTATTTTCCCTTAGGATCATAAGTTCTTTGTTTTAAAAGTGGATGGATTTCACCAATTGTCTCCATTTGTGTGGTCTGATATCCAAGTGGTGGATCTGTCCACCAGCCTATTAACTTGGGGCTCTTTGTTATGATGTCATTTATTAGCCAATCAGCCCATTGATATCGTATTGGAAACTTGTGCAAAGCTTCAATCATCATTTTAGCTGCGCAATGCGTCATGCCATACATGTGTGCGCAACGACCACAAAAATATGTTCGATATGCGGAAATTCTGGGAACTTCAAGAAAACTATCGTATTTCATACCTGGAGTCGGCATATTCAGACATGAACCAAAATGAAAGACACCCTCTGATAAAATAGGATTTTTTAGAAGTTCATCCATTGTAATGTTTTCATTGTTTGCAAAACTTGAACAGTTATTTTGGTTTTTACCAACTTTGATCAAGTTGAGTTTGACAGCTTGAGACATAAAACGATTAAATTTCTCTTTTAAAAATGGAACAAAAGTTACATCATCTTCTAAAATTAAAGCAAATGATAAATTTCGTTCCGCAATTGAGTACCAGGCGTCTATATGTTCAATGACGGTAGCACATGACACATCTTTTGCGTGATCACCGGAAATATACGGAAATTTCGATTTAATATATGCAACGTTACTTGGATGTGTACAATTTTTTCTGTTCCATTTCCATCGATATTCAATACTTGATTTTTGCATTCCTTGGTGTACAAAAACCTTTTCTATGTGTTTGTGTCGAACTTTCAAGTGTTTAGCAGTTATAATCATAATCGATTCAACAAAGGCCAAACCAGACTGGGACTTAGCCTTTGGATAATGCTTCAAAGAATCTAAGGTAAATTTTTCCCAATAAGAAGAAGGTTGTGATTGACCAATATCATGTACTGCATAAAAGTCATAAGCGGTGTAGTTATAATAATATTGTTTATCGCGAGGAAAGAAGTGTGCTGCTAATACACTAAGTTCTTTCGAACCAATAAAGTACTGGAAACGATACTCTTTTAACAGTATTCGAAATCCCCCAAAATTCATGTTTCGCAAAAAATTTACATCACTCGATGAAGTATAAAATAATATATAGGATGAAGGAATCAAACCGATGGCAAAACCAAGAGATAGAAAAATATATCGGTTCATAACAGCTGAAAATTTGGGTGACAGAAATTTACCCACTATATACGATGAGCCGACTGAGATTCTTATATGAGCCATTTCAACTTAGTTGCCACTGATATTATAATAAACATGTTCAATTAAAATCGTGAGTGTATTAATATTTTTTTTAATTTTTTTTAACATTGATATTTATTGTGCCACATAATATGTTGGTTCACAAGTAAAAAGATAGATAAGAAGAAAGAGAGGTGTGCTAGTTTAAGAACAGTACAGAGAAAAAAGAAAAGAGTATATAAATATACACATAGTTTTACATTAACGCATGAAGGAAAAAAAGAACACAGACGTTTCACATCTTCAGAGAGG